TCGCCAGACAGAGAGAGACAGAGAGACAGAAAGCGAGAAATCACCCCCCAGGGGGGATGGTCACGCCGCAATCCCTTCTCCTCCATTCTCCTCTTGGGATCTCGGGCACACACACACATGCGGCCGGCTTGAGTTTTAAGTCACCGGGTCTGGGATGTGAACCGCAGTCGACTACGTGGGAGTCCAGCGACATAGCCATTACTCTAACTGCTGGTTCCCACTGACTGGGTTTGAAACCTGGCTTTGGCACTTTTTCATGGTGTGTCTTAGCTTCTTTGTTTGTATAGTGGGGATGATAAAAGTACCTGTCTGAAAAGTTGCTGTGAGAATGAAACAGACTGGGATGTGAGAAGTGCTTAGAACATTGGCTGGTACATAGTAAGTCCTATACACTAAATCTTCACTATGTTCACCGTAGAAACCTTTGTGACTCTATCAGTGTAGATTCATGTTTTTCTAGCACAACAGACTTTTAAAAAATTTAAGTATTTCCCATCTTTCATATAACTATTCTTAATTTAATGCAAACCACAGAGACTGTACGTTTGAGAAATAACCATCTCAGCAGTTGTTTTGATCTCTTTGTTTTACTTATCCTGTGGAACCAGAACTCAAGTCCTTTAAATACCAGAATTCAAGTGTATTTAAAGTTTACTCTGCCAGTACTGATGTCCAGAAAACTCCTTTGCATAGAACTAGTATACCCATTTTACTCTGATAAATGAGTAGGCTAGGACAATATTCCATAGTTTCTTTCTTTCTTTCTTTTTTTTTTTTTGAGAGGTTTTCGCTATAGGGCGTGTGCGCTCGCCAGACAGACAGAGAGAGACATAGAGACAGAAAGCAAGAAATCACCCCCCAGGGGGGATGGTCACCCCGCAATCCCTTCTCCTCCATTCTCCTCTCGGGATCTTGGGCACGCACGCACACGCGCCCAGCGTGAGTTTTAAGCCACCGGGTCTGGGACGCGAACCATGGTCGACTATGTGGGAATCCAGCGACATAGTCATTACGCTAACTGCTGGTTCCTGAGTTTCTTTATCATTTCAGTACCATTTAATTTTTTTTTTTTGAGGGGGAGAGGTTTTTGCTATAGGGCGCATGTGCTCTCCAGAAAGACAGAGACAGACAGAGATGGAAAGTGAGAAATCACCCCCCAGGGGGATGGCCAAGCCGCAATCCCTTCTCCTCCATTCTCCTCTCAGGATCTTGGGCATGCATGCACACGCGGCCGGGGTGAGTTTAAGCCGCTTGTTCTGAGACTCGAACTGTAGTCGACTACATGGGAGTCCAGAGACGTAGTCATTATGTCATCTGCTGGTCCCAGCACCATTTAATTTTTAAGTTGTTATGAAAATCATTCTTCCAGTGTCTACATATTTTACAAGTTGAATATTAAGCAGAACATTTATTTATTTATTTTTTTTTTTGTCAGAGGGCTCGTGTACTAGCCAGACAGAGACATGGGCATGGGGTGGGAGTAAAGCGAGAAAGTACTCACGTGTAGCATGGTTATGCCACAATTCTCCATTTCTCCTTCCTGTCTGGATTTTGGGTGCATGCACATATACGTGACTAGCATGTTTTTCAGGTCACCTGCTCTGGGACTTGAATAGCACAGTTGGCCTTACTAGGATCCAGCCACCTTAACCACCAGGCCACAGACTGGCCTGCGAAGTATTTATCATCCATTTCTCTAACAGAATTTTACTCTTAGTTATATAGACATGTTGAAGGAATCCTTAAATTCAGTAATAATAAAACAAAAAAATAACATTTTGACAAAAATAAAATGAAGTTGAAATGGGAATTTTAGTCCTTAGTACTTTGTACAAGTAGAGAGAGAAGAGGCCAAAATTGGAGATACAGGAAATTAGGTGAAAGTTTGAAGTCTTGTTTTAATTTACCATTCCCTGGTCAAAACCCATTACAACAGAAATTTCTATAAATCAAAAAGACTTCTGTTCTCTAGCCAGTCTAGCCAGTACCCACTAATTTTGAGTATTATTCAATAAAAAGTAATTCCAGAGCTAAAAAATAATTGGAACAGGTTCCTAAAGTTGGTTATAACCGATTGACCTGCATGAAGGCCATAC